TTTTGGGGGGGGGGGGTTAAATACCCCCAAAAGAAAGCTCTATGTGCCCCCAAAAAATGGTATAACATTCATTTAATTGCGTTGCATGACGGAATAAACGTCAGTCAAAGTATCGCAGCGCTGAATACTGAAACATGGCCGGGACAGGAAGGGGGGGTCTAAACACCGCGGTCAGCAAGGGGTTAAACTTTTCTTTTTTTTTTTATATTACACATAACTTTATTGCTATCACATAAGTGGATAACAAGCCCCCTATGTGATAGCCAGTACACATAACAGGTCCTCTTTATGGAGACATCGGGGGTCTCAGAGTGTCCCCGCGGCTTCCTTCCCTCTGTCGCGGTGTCGCAGGGCCCCCCGTTGCGGTTTGTCTTTGGGGGGGGGCGGGGCTGTAACACAAAAGAAAAGTCACATTGATGGCGTGTCGTCTCATCACCTCCATCAGTCCCGGCGCAGTCCGGCCTCCACCACCACGGCGATCGTCCTCCGGCCCTCGGTCCGTCCTCACTCTCTTCTGTTCTCTTCTCAGGCTCAGGAGGAGGAGCGGCAGCAGAACTTCCTGTACCTCCTCCAGCTGGACAACGAGGTCCTCATCCCCAACCAGGAGGCCATCGAATGTCGCATCTGCTACACCGAGGTGCCCGCGGGGGGCGGAGTCCTGCTACGCGAGTGTCTGCACAGCTTCTGCAGGTGAGTCACCGGGCCCCGCCTTCCCCTCCAGGCGACATGCTCCGCCCAGCAGGGGATGGAAGCGCGTAGCGGGGGATGGAAGCGGGCCCTCAGGGGCCGAGATCTGTCCACCGTGGGGGGGATGATCCCTGAGGGGTACAAGAGTGGTGGATGATTTAACCCTTTCATGACCGAGGATAAAATGAAGGCCCAGACCAGCTGTTGCCATGTTACTGCACTTACAAATATCATTTCGGGAGGAAATCCCGTTGATGATCGGGAGACGCAGATGCCGGTCTTTCGGTATCGAGTACGAGTACCAATATTTTTTTTCTTCCGGTACGCGCCGATGACGGGTAGCGGTGCTTTGTGCCCCGATTATCAGGAAGTCGGGGCGGTTCCTTTCTGCCTGTAAAGCTGGTGTTCTTGCGAGAGAACACCGGCTTCACTTGTTGCTAGGCAGCGTCGCTTCCGGAACCAATCAGGCAGCCGGGTGGCGAGTCATGAGGTGTCGTCCAGCTTCCTGATTGGTCAGGAAGCCGGGCTGCCCAGCAATAAGTGAAGCCGGCTTGCTAACCAATCAGCATGCCGGGCGGTAGGTCATGACCCGCATCCCGGCTACCTGATTGGCTAGGAAGCCGGCTTCACTTGTGGCTAGGCAACTTGGCTTCCTCACCAATCAGGAAGCCGGGAGGTGGGTCATGACGTACTGCCTGGCTTCCTGATTGGTAAGGAAGCCGGCTTCACTTGTTGCTAGGAAGCCAGGCAGTACGTCATGACCCGCCTCCCTGATTGGTCAGGAAGCCACGCTGCCCAGCAACAAGTGAAGCCGGCTTCCTAGACAATCAGGAAGCTTGGAGGTAGGTTATAGCCCACCTCCCGCTTACTGATTGGAAAAGAAGCCGGCTCCATGCTCCCTCGGCACTGCCGGTCAGAGGGAGATCTCCCTCTGACCAGAAGTACTGGTATCGGGGGTAAGTATCGGAGCATTTGGGTGCTTGACCAATGAGGAAGGTGGGCGACATGTCATGACCCTTCTCCCGGCTTCCTGATTGGCTAGGAAGCTGCCTAAGCGACACCGCGAGGGAGCCTGGCTTCCTGACCAATCATTGATTGCCGCGAGGGAGCGCGAAGCCGGTGTTTCAATAGAGCGCCGGCTTCCCAGGCAATCATGACCCGCCGCCCGGCTTCCTCATGACCTGGGCCCACGGTACCTCAGGATGCCGGTATCGGTGCGTCCCTGGTACATATATACATTAGAAGTTAATAAAAGAGGCTACAAAAGGGCTTCCTGGTTCTTCCTGCAGCATGGTCACATGACTAGTGCCATGGCGTTGGTCACATGACCAGTGCCAGTGCAGAGGGTCAATGGAGAATGAGCTCCGGAGACTGTTCAGGAGGGTCGCTGATTGGCAGAGAGATAACAGAGCCCTGACGGTGGCTACATTCCTGAACTACAGGACCATGAGGGTGTCTCACTCCGGAGCTGGGAGACAGCCTAAGACGAGGGTAGGCAAACTCTGGCCCTCCAGCTGGGGTGAAACTTCAGATCCCATCATGCATCTGTCTCTGGAAGCCGTGCCTGTGGCTGCGAGAATCTTGCAATGCCTCATGGGAGTTGTAGTCTCGGGGCCGGAGTTTCCCCCTCCCCTGGTCTAGGAGCTCAGGCGGTTGGCAGGACAGGTGACCTCTGACCCCAGGACAGGTGACCTCTGACCCCTGGCATCCTTTCTATATATATATA